TCATGAAATAATCTTCAGCTAACTCAAACTTGGCAATAAAAACATAGAGTTATGGGTGGTGATGGTGCATAATATGAATTACTCCTCTCCTTACCTATGAATTTCATTGGTAGCTATAAAATGAAGAAAAATGAATGCATAAAGGTGGGATTTGGCGATTTTAATGATTTATTTGTTTCTTCAAAAAGCCAAGTAGGAGAGGAAAAAAAAAGACAAGTAATAAAACAATATATGGTGAAATGAAATTAACCTGTTACATGTGGGGGTTTTAAGCTGTCCACAAGAAAATGCATGGTAGGGACAAAACAGGGATGGTCACTAAACAGAAAAGAGAAATCTCTGAAGCTATATCTTTTGGTAATTGGTACATTTTGCAGTGGGCACATTTTCCTCATATCCACTTTGGACTCAAGCTGGAGAGCAACAAGCAAGCCAACTTGGACCATGCAGTTGCAGGAGAAGGTCCTCATAAATCACTTGGTCTTTACTAAGATCAACACTTGAACCAAAACTTAAACATATATATATTTCTAAATATTATTTTCAAGTTGTAAAAGTCTATCCAAATGACGTATACAGTTTGTCTCTGAAGTCTCCTGTGGTATCTTTCATTTTTTTTTTGCCTTTTTCAGTGTGTTCCCTTTTTGCAGGGCCGTGGGATTCTTTGGTTGTGGCTAAATATCATGTATTCTAACTAGCTACATCCAATGTTTACTCCAATAACATACACTTGCTCTTGTAACTTTTTATAAGTATCTATTAATATTGGTGTGGATGCCCTTGCCAAATGTTTTTGTTTTTGTTACTTCTACATTGCAAGTAAGAATCAGCCGATTTGTAGAACATATTATGCACAAACTGATGAAATTTCTAAGTAAATTTATCGCCTAATCTTCAGGTATATATTGTTCCTAATATGCATTAGCACATAAAATAAAGCTCATCAATCTTACATTGGTTGTCTCAGCACGCGGCTCGATCCAAGTAGTTTTTGTTCCATCCTTCAACTTCTTCATGTGTGTTTCCTCAAATACCTCATCATGAGTAACTGGTCTTCCTTTAGCATTTTTCTGAAAAAATAAATAATATGTTAAAAATGGTAACTAAAATAGTTATAAATCAAGAAAAATATAATAAACACATTACCAATCTTCTTCGATGAGCCGCAATACTAATTGAGCCGCCCGTGTGCACCGAGCCACCCTTGTTGGACAAACGGGCTGCCTTTCCTTGTTCGCTCTTCTTCTTAAATTTCGGAGAATTCCAATACTCAAGAAGTTTAACCCATAAATCATCAAGAATACAACTTGGCCTCGTATTACTTTCTCGAGCAGTCCGAAGCAGATCGGACAACCTATCAGAACATTTCTTAAAGAAAACGACTCGTACCTCAGCCTCAGAATCGCGTGACCATGCACACTTCAACTGCAAATAAAACATGTTATAATGAATAAAAAGAGTTGAAAACTAAAGTAAAATATTAATTTTACCCTAAATTCAGCAAACATTTTGTCCCTAATGTTAGTTGGAACTTCTGACCAGAACCTCCATGGTGCGTGATAAAACGAACACATCGATTCAACCACGGCTTTCGTAGCCTGAGGAGGATAAAAGCTGCATTGAATTTGAATAAGTTAGAAACTATATTTAGAAATTAATTAGGAATTAAAAAGATGAATATTTACCCTGCTCCATCGGACACAATAATCAACCTCCGAAGATCATCATATTTTCCAACATTTGGAGGATCCTGACTTCGTGTAGAAGTCTGTGCAGGAGGCTGTGTAGCTGTATCACTATCGGTATATTGGGATGTCGAATTACTATCGACTCCAATATGTAGCCTACAAATGCTGGGAGATGAAGATGGAGTGGATTCAGACAAAGGCATGGAAGAGTGGCTAGCAGGCTAACTAAATGATGAAAGCATGCCAGAGGAAGATGATGAGGGTATGCCATGCGAAAGTGGAGTGGATTCAGACGAAGGCATGGAAGAGTACCTAGAAGGATGACTAGATGATGAGGGCATGCCAGTAGAAGATGATGAACGAATGACCGGAGAAGATGATGATGGCAAGAAAGGGTAAGATGATGAGGGTATGCCATGCGGAAGTGGAGTGGATTTAGACGAAGGCATGGAAGAGTACCTAGCAGGCTGACTAAATAATGAGGGCATGCCAGAGAAAGATGATGAATGAATGATTGGGGAAAATGATGATTGAATGCCAGAGGAAGATAATGAAGGAATGACCGGAGAAGATGATGATGACATGACTGGGTAAGATAATAATGAGGGTACACCAGGCCTAAGTCCATGTGCTGGGAAGATGTAGGATTAAAGAAGGGGGTGGATGAGGGGGCCTTATACCCTAGGTGAGGTATAGAGTATAAGGGAGGTGGAAATGATAACGGGCATGTAGGTGGAGGCACATGCGAACTAGAAGGTGCGTGTGGGGGAGAGGTAGTGATACCTAAGTTACCAGAAACTTTTGTTTTCTTTCTTTTTTTACCCTTCTCTGGTGCAGTACCCTCTGGACGATCTTTACCTCGAGGAGCCATCTAAACAATATAAGCATAAGAAAAAATATGTTAGTATGTTTAGCAACAAATTTAAATGCATAACATACAAGTTAGTAAAAAGAACAAACATGTCAATCCTAATCGCTTAGTTCATCTTCATCAGAAATTTCATCCTCCTCGCTTGTTTCATTTTCATCATCATATTCTTCCTCCTCAGTTAGTTCATTTTCATCAGCGGAATCTTCCTCTTCATTAGCCATAGATGTTCCAACCTCATGTTGAACTGAAGGATCAACTTCTTCGTACATGCCTTCAATATGCAGTTCATCTGCTAATTCATCATCCACAATTAGTTGAACACTTGATATATCATTTTGGTATGCTATATCTAGTGCATCCTCAACTTCTATTCTACCAACCGGCTTAGTTTTTATGACCACCCACCAATCAGTCTTATATTTACACGACGACGGATAAGGAGCGTAATCACTTGCTTCACATTTTGTGCAATGATAAATGGATCATATCTTGCATACTTCCTCGTGTGAT